AATTTCTTTATGAAAGGGGTAAGCCTTGGCACGTAATGATCCTTTAAGGCAGAATGTGGAGAGGTTTCTACCTTCCCTACAGACCATCAGCCTGCTGCTGAATGCTTTCTTTTGGATGTACAGCAAGACACAAGAACTGTGACACAGTATGCTGTAGAGTTTTGTTGTCAGCCTGCAGAAGTAAATTAGGTGCTCTGCATGCAGCTTTTTGCAGAGGTCTTTTAAAATCACATTAAAGATGAATGGTGTATGAAAATATTCCAGGAGACCTTGAAAAATTCATAGAGTTAAGTGTCCGACTGGATATTTGGTATCATGAAAGGTGTCAGGAGATGGAACGGAGTAACAAGATGTCTCCACCTGTTTATCGTTTAGCTCCTCATTTCCAAACAGGACCTGAGATTAAACCACACTTCAGTCAAACTTATGGAATCTGTAGATACAATGGAAATCAATTGTCTTCTCTTGACAGAAGCAGAGAGAAAGAAAAGACGCTCCCAGGGTCGATGTTTGTACTACAGACTGAAAGGACATTTGTTATCCTCTTGCCATTCTTGCCATCCAGTAAAAGGGAAGAGCTGGCTTAGACCTTGCAAGTCATTCCTCCAAGATTTTGGTACCTGCCCTTTTACATATAGTAAACAACAAACCATTACCTCTGCAACACCGAAACAACAAATGTATGTGCAGAAAAAGTATATATACAATCCAGGGTGAGAATTAAAACACCAATATTACACTCATCAAGTGAAATGCACAGCAATACTAACTGTTTACATTTGATACAATGCAGCATTGCCAAAGATAAGATGAGAAAATGAATCTTCACATATAGGTAGTCCTAAATATGGTTTCACATGTACAAATAGGTAATATAGTGATGGATCTTCACACTCTTTATTGCTGAAAATGTAAGTACGTATTGGAGCCATTCAGGGCTCTATTACATGTAAGTTGGCAGGATTACTGTAGATACCCAACACGCAGAACTTAAATAGATATAAAGTAAATACCTAAGACATATTACCGGGCCTTAGAATGGCTGGATTTAACGTAAAAAGGGAAAAAGACACAAGATAGAGAAAAGCCAAGACAAAGGTATAACGCAAACGATAAACAAACCAAAGGTCAAGGAATGGAGATATCAGAATAGTCAGGAGCCAAGCCAAAAGTCAAGGAATACAGAGATCGGATAGTCAGTAAGGGAAGGTACACAAGACATCAATACAAGGAACGCTCTCTCGGATAACCAACTGAAAACCACAACAGGGCACTGAGAAATGGACAAACTAGGTTTAAATAGCTAAAGGCGTTTCCTGATAGGCTGTAGGGAAATATGTGATCAAGCTTATGTGTGTAATACACCCATATTAAATTAATTGATATGGCCCTTTAAGGGTTAAACAGGAAACCCTTAAATTATTCACAGCTGCAGCGGGCGGCGTCTTTAATGATACAGACCTGGCTGCTGAGAGAGGAGAGGTCACCTCTGGTGAGTGTTTGGCAGTATTCCCCTTAGTTTGTGAGAATACCACGGTAGCGATATGCGCCCGCCGGGACTCACGGGCGGCGTGACATAAGTGCATAAACTATATACTTACATTATTGTTTACATTTTTTTTATTTAGTAATAAGACATTTAAAAATGATGAAAAACAACCAATGTTATATACTGTATTTATATTTATTGCAACAATATTTTTATAATATAGTTGTTCGTAGGTATATTTATCTTCCATTTCCCAAACACTTTAATTAAACAGACTGGAGATAAGAATTAGCGAACTGGAGATTGGTATACCCACGACAGTATGTTCCCAATTATCTTTAAATATACGATACATATTTATTGGAGCCATTCAGGGCTCTATTACATGTAAGTGCATGATCTATATACTTACATTATTATTCAAAACCTGCTGTCATGATTCTGCGCAGGTCAGACAGGAGACTTATGCCGGGGTTTATTTCAGGTAATTTATTTGATTTTTCAGGCATGGTTCAGACAAAGGAAAC